CAGCTAAGCGCGGGCTAAAGTACGATACGGGCATGCACGGCAAGAAAATACAAGCGAACAGCAGTTGCAATGACCTCAAACGGGGAAAAGTGTTTCTATATACAATAAAAAAAATATGGAAATGCCGCACGAAAAACGGAATCAACTAGCAGGGTAAGCGCTTGCCCACAGCATAAGCGAATGTCACGTGGCGTACAATTCGAATGCAAAAAAAAAAAAGCGACAACGTTATTACGGAACAGTCGGGTGCTCCCTGCGCGCCATCGGAACGTTGGGCTCAGGCAACAGCAGTTGGGATAGTGCGGGCGACACTAAAGAGAGAGGTGACTGTATTGTATACACAGAGCGAGTAGTTTTTCGATGCACTTATGAAACTTGTGTTACCTGCTCGTTATAGGGCTCAAAGAGTTTTTTTTTTTTGTTACCGACATCACAGTACTTAAAAGCCCAGAAAAACACCCAAGGATTAAATATCAAGCGCCCATATCTTTGTGGTTGATGGAAAAAATAAAATAAAGTAGGCACCGAGACAAAAAGCTAGTATAAAGCTGACCAAAAAAAATCAAACAAGAAATAAAAGATTTTGAAGTATTGTATTTGAAATCAATACTGCTGTAGGAGAAGTACAAACGGAAAGGGCTAACCAGACCTTAGAACTTAATTAAAAAGAAATTAGGGCCATGCACATAAAAAAAATCAATTCAACCACCTAATACTAAGATGATAGCAGCACACCTCGTTAAGGGAGCAGCAGAAAAAAAAATGTTACTTGATGTTTACGTTCGTGAAGAAAAAATCAGATTAATCTTTATATGCCTTGTATAGTAAAACAAGATGCTGATATAACACTGTGGGAACGAGTGCCCCATGCTTTGTACGGCACACGTATCCAACCAGCGAAAGAAAATAGCTACACATGAATAGAACCGCAGGCGTGCGGCAATCAGGACGGCTTTAATCGAGATACGATCGAGCGTCAGACGCCGCGGTACCAGAAAGTAGGGTGGGAAGGAGGGGCAACCTAGGAGAGGCCCAACCCCCCTAAAATAGCGTTCTGAAACCACAGTGGTCAACAAGTTACTGCCGAATGTGAGACTTTACCAGGGAGGAGAGGTCACGAGGATGATCCAAACATGCACAAGGTTCAACACAATCGAGCAGGTCGACCGGGAGTTACCGGCCTTACGCACTTTTCACACCATCATCGTTTCTGGCTGCCGCACGGGGGGTGTGCTGTTGTGGGGCCGCAAGTGCGAGAGATACGACCCATCAGTGTTCACTCGATCCCATCAACCTGGTAGTTCAGCTGTCCAGTGGCAACAAGCTATCCACGCGGATACAGAAACAGCTATTGCGGTGGCGCCAACGGGCAGAGGAAAAAATGCAAGAAAACCACGCTCTTTGCCTTCCCCTACACAAGTATTATGCAGAATCGCATGGACGCATACACATGGCAGCTATGCACAGCAGTGTTGAATGCGCGTCCACAAAAAAACAAAACAAAGGAATCACGAGTAATCTAGTATTTGGAGAACGGCTGCAGCGCAGAGGATTACAAGGCACAAGCAGAGGGTGTGTGCACGCCGGACTGAAACAAGCCGCAGGCCGGTGTCGGGTGAGCGCGCGCATGATAAGGAGCGAAAGGAAAACGCGCCAAAACGTGCAAGCTACAGAGAAAAAAAAAGAAAACCCGACTTCGATTCTCGGATTGGACACCATAAAACGGATGGAGAGGCTAGGGGTAGGGGCTGGCCCAATGTCTGTGTGGGTCTGTGTGGTCTCTAATCATTCAAGTGACAGGACCTAGGTGTCAAGAGGAACTGTCCACAGAGGATTGTACATGAAACCTCAGCCTACAAGCACTGCTACCGACCTGATGGTAGCTGCCTCTCGATCGGTACCGAGTTCGGTAGATGAGCCGGAACAGCGGTAGAAGTGAGCCTCGAAGGTGGCTTGTGAAAAGGAGTGGAAGGTCTCCGGTGGTGGATACGGTATTCGCTTGTTGATTATTTCTAACTCAGGGCAAGCAAGGAGAAGAAGTCAAGCAGAAGAAGGAGTGAGGCAGGGGGGCTGAGCAATCCAAGCCTCAAGACGGGGCCCGGCAGACCGGACCTTGCTGCTAGTACCTGTTGGGAACAACGCATTCTCCCAAAGGTACAACTCCTATCAACCGTAACCATGTAACCGTAACAGTCGTGCTGCATGACATCGGATTGTGCTGTTGAGTCTATATCAATGTTCATGTTGCCTGTACAGTTGTACGTGCAAGCAAGGTGTACCCCGGCAACAATCGGGCTATTTTGACCAATCTACTACTAGTAGTGCTGTCAGGGTACAGGGTAGTCTACAGCAGTAGTAAAACTCTACATATACAGCAGTACATTGTAGAATGCATAGACTACAAACAACATATTCACCTGATTGAGAGCGAAGTATCTGATTGAGAGCGAGAGCCAAAAAAATTGAAATTTCGGGTCCAGACGCCTCTTGCCATTTCTTGGCAAGTAGGGGACGGGCTATTCCAAGAAGCGGTGCAAATTGAAGGTCTCATCAGCAGCTTCGCGAGCATATGCGTGTCATCGTCATCGGATGCTGCAGCGAGGAGCTAGACAAGTTGCTAGATTTGCCCAGATTGGCTATTTCTGCTCAAACTGTTTCAGGGCGGTATCGCGTCGGGCGGTGGGCTCTGCTGTAGCTTCTGCTCCCCGCTGTAGCTCCACAACGAGAGACTCCCACAGGATGACCAGGGTAGCGGCTTGAAGCTACGGGGTAGCCCTTCAATTCAAGCTACACACCAAGCTCCACCTCTCAGTGGTAGTCCGGCTACAGCGTATCGCGCAATCTCGCTCTCAATCAGATGCTACGCTCTCATTCAGGCGAATATGTTGTTTACATATGATGTACAACAACGTTGTTAGAAAGGATGTAGATTGCACAGCAACAGAGCCGACGACCCCCGTCTCGTGTGTAATATCTTCCCGTGAGGCCAGGTCGTTTTCCCCAGTATATTATTTATATGGAAATAATACAGAACACAATGAGTCCGCCGTCACACACACCCCCTCCCTCGCCCTCTTTGTTCCGTGTGTACTGCTGTAGAACGCTACAAAATATCGTTACCTCGAGGATGAATATGATTCTAGGCCGAACGACATGCGGTCAGGTTGTCAGAGAGCCCCCTCCCCAAGTCGCCCGAGTGACAACCGCCGGTGCATATACATTGTACAGCCATATCACCATTCGAAATTGCGACTTGTACCCCAAGGGCACCCTGTTGACGAGTTGTGTTTTCGGTGCTATGCCGGTGTGTCCATGTTTTCGTGTTGGCAGGCGCGCTACGAAATTGGCGTTGCCCTGAACGCCAGAGGGCGCAGGGTCCAGCTGACACGGTAGGAGTGCTTCACGCAGGCGTGTCGTGCAACTTGGCCCGGCGACGCCCCCCTGTCGGAGACCGTCGTCAACGCGCTGCATGCATCGCCGCCGTAGAATCTTGAGTGGTTAGGTTATTGCAGCGAACTGGAGTGGAAGACGGGCAGACGCGTTGCGATAGCGCTGTGGAATGACGTTCAAATATTGAAACCAGAGGTCGACAAGGAGAAGTTGTTTTCTTGCTTTTTGTGGCCGTGGAGAGAGATGAAAACCGGGCAGAAGTTTATTATCAGTTTGTGCAACACGCGACACCTCGGGAAAAACGCCACATGCAGGGGGTGCCCGCCTTCACAAGGTTTTCGTGTGATTGAGAGCGAAGTTTCTGATTGAGAGCGAGATTGCGCGATGCGCTGTAGCTGGACTACCGCTGAGAGGTGGAGCTTGCTGCGTGACTTGAATTGAAGGCCTAGCCCGTAGCTACAAGCCGATACCCTGGTCATACTGTGGGCGTCTCTCGTTGTGGAGCTACAGCGGGGAGCAGAATCTACAGCAGAGCTCACCGCCCGCGATCAAATCGCCCTGAAACAGTTTGAGACAGGAATAGCCAATCTGGGGAAATCTAGCAACTTGTCTAGCTCCTAGCTGCAGCATCCTATCGCGATGACACGCATATGCTCGCGACGCTGCTGATGAGACCTTCAATTTGCGCCGCTTCTTGGAAGAGCCCGCCCCCTACTTCCCAAGAAATGGCAAGAGGCGTCTGGACCCGAAATTTCAATTTTTTTGGCTCCCGCTCTCAATCGTATACTCCGCTCTCAATCAGGCGAAAACCCTGTTCCTTGTGTTTTTTATGCTTGGCATCCTTGATTTGCCATGCTGACAGCCCGACAGAAGCCTGGAAAGCATGGGGAACCGTATTCCTGGTAATGTTTGTATTCATTCTCGGAACGGAAAGCGCAACTGCTGACCTTACAGTGTCTTCTACCGCTACCGCCCTTCGTGTTGGCGCCGACAGGACAGGGTAACAGTTAGTAGTTTATACGTCTTGGAAATATAGTATATTTTTGCTCGATTGGAGTGGTCCGACACCAGCAAAGTCACGAATGCCAACATAAGGGGCGCACAAAAAAAGTGAGCAGACGCAAGGAATCTCACCTAATCCACTCAAATGGCTTCCTAGTACGCGTGCGTACCTTTCGTCTTTCTAATACGCGTATCGTCTACGCCTTCCCAGTGGGTACGGGCCGCCTCGCTGTGAGCATGGTCTTCCAAGTGGCACCGCATGCACATCAAAACCCCTGACTCACTCCCGTTCGTACGGTACTTCGTGCAAATGCAGCCGCTTTTGGAGCTCTTATCGCATGTAGGGTTCATGCAGTCCCTGGCATTCTTTAGCTTGACGCTACCCCACACAGGCCCGCGCGACGTAAGTCGTCTCCGTTTATTCCCGCCCTTGCCAACGTTGCCATCGTTACACCTGGCCATCAGAAATGTCGCCATCGCCTCGTCCCAAACAGCCCGCTCTACTTTCGCCAGCCTTTTCAGTTCCGACACAGCATCCTCCAACTCGATTACCTGTCAATCGAGGCATTCTTCCGTGCTATCACCAGGCTGCCGCCTCACAGAATGTGGCGTCCTGCAGCAGCGGAGGTGGCGGTGCTGCTG